TGGGGCTGAACCACAACTGAGGTATGTGCCCTTCACCGAAACTGAACCACGGCCTTTTGGTCTACGGGCCGACGCTCTAACCTTCGAGCCGAATCGGCCAGGGCTCCCCTGGTTTGGGAAGATTCAGCTTTGAAACTGCAGATGCTCTGACCGGGGAGTGAGGATACGGCTTCTCCTGGGGGTCCCTGTCATGGTTCCACACACTTGCTCACTGCCTCGGACCTTCCGCGGCATGGCAGTTTGGGGGGTCTCCACTGACACATCCTTAAAAAGAATTCGCATTCCCCCTACTTATACCGTCAGACTGATTCCTGGGCCACAGCGCGTGGAGGGAAATGCCGCTGCCCGGTCTCAGGAAGTCTCTGAATAAGCCTGTCGAGGTGCATGTCCCAGGGACAGGCTGGACATGGATGACGTGCGTAAGTGAGCCATTCAGGACAGGCGTGAAGTCTTCTCAAGGGCCCTCGGGTGACTAGGCACCTGCGATCGGTCCTTGGGGGTTTCGTTGCTCATCACCCGTTTCCCTTCTTCTAGAAAGAGCAACAAAACCTCCTCCGGCCCAAGAGCTGAGTGCGCATCGGGCCCAGGCTCGTCCTTGCTGTACCCTCCCGGGCAGCGACCAGGTCAGGGATGGACGCGTGACCCGGGCCGGCCCCATCGCCACGGAGCCGGGACTCCTACAGGGACAGCTGAGGACAAAGCTCTCTCTTTCTCCTTGGACTCGAAACGACACAAGCTGGTCATGCCTGGATTCTCCCGGGTCAGTTAGAGGAGGGCGTTCCCGTGAGAATCTTTACCCCGTCACACGGGGTCAGGAACTGGGGACTTTGCATCACTGGGGAGGAAAATGCATTATCGCATGAAATCCACGTCGAAAGTGAGCCAGGGCTCAGAAGTTCAACCGGAGACCAATGTCACCAGCAACCTGGCTGCGTGCTGTCCTGTCTCTCCGGGGGGCATAGCTTCCTTGCCGTCAGTTCGGGGTCCCACCAGCCCCCTCCCCCTGCTCACACCATGCCCTTCCAACTCCTGGACGGCTCGCTCCGGACCCAGCCCTGGGCCAGATGCAAAGTCTATGTTGATGCCACGGAGTGGCTGCCTGGGTAAGCAATCCACTCGGACGGAAGTCCCTGTGGGGGGCACACTCCACGGGGCGGGAGGAGAAAGCGGCAGGCTGGTTGCAGTGGCTCCCACCGCCCCTCCCAGCGATCAGCACTCCAACAGGGAGACAGTCCCCCCAGGAACACGGTGGGCAGGGGGAGATGCTCATCAGCCTCCGGGGCCCCACCTCCTTCCTCACCAGCCCTCGCTCCCCTGCTGTTTGTTACAAGGTCCCAGCTCACACAACGTCCCCACAGCGTGTCCCGGTCCAGTCCGTCCTCGCTCCTCCCCAGCGTCTGACTGCGCTGGGATCATTTCTGCCTCCTTATTGGCTGTGTCACTTTGTCACTTTGGGCCAGCCACTTCATCTTTTGAGCCTCAGATAGATGACTTATCTAGAGACGGGGATAATGAGAATGCATTCCTCAAGTCTGACAATATCTCCCCCAAATGTGGAAGCATTTACCCTTTAACACAGCAATCTCCCCGGGAATCAATCCCACAGACAGACGCGCGCACGTAGGTGACAACTGTGAAGTCATTCTTCATATTCTTTGTCGGAAACAGTGAAGGCCACCCATGGGTACCCACTGAATAAACTGTACCCTGTCATCTCCTAGCTCTGTTAAGCAAAAAAAGACACAAAAAAGTGTGGGTGTATGGGGTAGTAAAAAATAAATACTGGGTCTTTGTCCCAGTTCCTGGCACCTAAAATCGTTGCAATTTCTTGTCCCCTGTAGGCTGACGAGATGCCTCAGGCCAGCACCCCTGCATCTGCAGGATGGGGGCTCCTGTCAGAAAGACCAAGCCGTGACTAAAGGGTTGGGACTTCCGGAAACCCCCTCCATCAGCTCCAAGGAGAGGAAAGGGGCTGGAGACTGAGTTCGATCACCGGACGTCAGGGGTCTAATCAATTATGCTACGTAATGAAACCTCGAGAAAACACCCCTAACGGAGTTTGGGAATTTCTAGGTTGGTGAATACGTGGATCTGCTGAGAAGGTGGTGGGCTTGGGGAGGGCATGGAAGGTGTGTGCCACCTTGACGCCCCCTCCCCAGTAAGCCTGTCCTCTGTATCTTTTCCACTGGGCTATCCCTGGGTTGCATCCTTCAGAATAAAGCTATAAGCAGAACTAGAGAACTTTCCAGAGGTCCATGAGTCCTTCCAGTGAGCTATCCAACTTGATGGGGGGCCAGGATTGTGGGAACCACTAAATGTGCAGTCAGCTGGGCCGATGTGTGGGTCACCCGGGGACCCCACTTGTGCTAGCCTGTGCGGTAGGGACAGTCTTGTGGGACCAAGACTGGAGGGGTGGGACGCTCCCTCCGGACAGTGTCAAAGTGGAATCGAATTGTTGGACACCCCCTGGCGTCCCAGAGCCGGAGGACTGGTGTAGAGAAAGGACCCAGATTTGTTGTGAGAATAAAAAATACACATTTGGTGCAAAAGTGGTATCAGAAAAATAACCACGCAGTGTTGTACGCTGAGTTTGCAAGAAGGAGAAGGAAACAGGACGGTGCGTTTGCATTGACCCGTATTTTCACGACGAGACAGTGAAAGGGCTCGACCGGAAAGCAACAGAAATGACGACCCACAGCGGGTAGGCAGGGCAGGGAGGGGCCAGACCTCCCTACGGATGATGTTCTGTAGCTTCAGTTTTTGTTTTTGTTTTTGTACGTGCCCCTAGCGGGCACCGAACCCGGGACTCTCTGGTCCACAAGCCGACGCTCCAACCGCTGAACCAAACTGGCCAGGGCAGCGTCAGTGTTTGAATCATGTAAGGATGCCACCTCCACCCTCTCTTTGGGGCTGGTGTACACCCAGCACCCACATAGCCAAAGGGGACCCGCGTCCTGAGAGTCACCGTGGAGGAAGAACTGGAGACACACTGAGGTGAGCAGCCCCCACGCAGGCGGCGAGCAAAGCAGGGCCCCGAGAAGGGCTGACGCTCGTGCAGAGGGGTAAGCCCTCTGCCGGGGCCGGGAGCCCGACGTGGCCCCGCAGGTTCTGGGCAAGCGTGGGAATCAACGGGAATGGACGTTAAGTCGCTTCACAGTGGAGACGGAGGACGGAATCGGGAAGGGAGGAAAGAAAAAGGGAAGGAGGAAGGAAGCCGGTGGAGGCCATGCTCATTCACCGCCTCCCGGTCCCACGAGATTCTTCCTCTCTGACATGAACGTTTAATGCCTCTGCCTCTCCCGTGTACCCCCCCCCCCTTGTCATTTGCTCGGGGCCCATTGTTCTGGGAGGATGAATGAGACATGCCTGGCACAGGTTGGCTCCCTCATTCATTCTGGTCCCTGACAGCTACTGGTTCTCCATGTCCCCCGCCCCGAAAACCACTCAGATCTCGACCCCGCGGAGCCCTCCTGCCGGCAAAGACAAGAAATCGCATATTCAGTGACTGCAGGACCCCCGTGGGCTCATCACGGTCTGAATAACAGGCAACCTGATTTCTCGGGAGCCCTGGGATACTTAAGAGTCACATAAAAGAATTTGGGGATTTATAGAATACACGTCTTTGGGGTGGGGGGGGGAGTAATTATCCTGACAATGGCAATAAATCAAATTCTATGACTTTGAAGAACATTCTAAGTTCAAAGAAGTGCTTCTAGGCGAAGCTGTTAGTAAAAATAGGAGCTGGTGACTCGTTCAGGGCCAACTGTGAAGACTAGGAGCCCGTATCTTCGGCCTGGAGTGAGTTCAGGGTGTAAAATGTGGGCTGCGTACCATGGTGTCTTTCCATCCGGCCTATTGACGAAGGTGGGGGGCAGGCAGGGCTGGTATTCTCACACCCATTTTGTTAATGAAGAAACAGGCTCGGTTGAAGGCTGGCCCCCTCGGGGATTTGCTGGCAAAGCCAGGTGTGCAGACTCAACCGGCCCGGCTGCTGGGGCTCACAGGTGTGCAGCCAGGCAGGTGAGGGCCCGCGAGTGGGCTGATGCTGCCTTGTCCCCATCCTGAAAGTCTCCAAACTTTTGAACCAGGAGCCCTGCAAATCCCGTAGCTGGTCCTGCTCACAGCTCCACGGACTCCCCTCTGGACTCCACCAGAGCCCAGAAACGCCGCCGTGTCCGGGGCTGGATCCCTGGGCCCCCTCAGCTCGCCCCTGCCCCCGGAGCCGCGGGAGCCCCGAACGCTGGTCCCCCGTCTGCGCAGCGGCACGCCGCAGGGTACGTCGGCACCCCACTCCATCGGTTCATCAAAGTCAAAGTCCTTTAAAATGAGTTCAATTAAAACAAGAGGCTCTCGAGTTTTATTAGACTCAACGTGATAAAACCCACTGAGAACACTGGATTCCTCTTTGCTCTTTAGCTGGGTCTCTCTGTCCAGTTCTCTGCCTCTGATGGTCTCCAGTTCTTGACTCAAAAGAAGAGAGAAAGAGAGAGGAAGGGAGAGGGAAGGGAGGAAAGAAGGGACCAGAGAGACAGAAACAAAGAAAACCCTCCTCTCTCCTAACCCTCCCAGCTCCCAGAGATGCCTTCTAAGTCTGGAAGGATTCGTGCAGAAGATCAAACGTGGTCGCTTCTGGCTACAAACTTTCAAGAACCGCGAGCAGCAAAGCGAAACAAAATGCCCATCTGAGAGCTGATGAGGTCGACCTCGCTGCCGGCTGTCTGTCCCTCCCTGGCACCTCCTGAGCCTCCCGGGCCTGGGAGGCAGGAACAGAGCTTTGCATACCAGGGGAAGTCAGCTCTCCCCCGACCGCCCCCAATGCTTTCTCTCCTCGGCGGGGGACCCGGTGGTCCTTCTCCTTCCTGAGCCTTGCACCAGCCCCTCCTGACTTTCCATGGAGTCTATTCCTGAACCGTGACAGCCTCCACCCCTCCAGAGGTCCACGGACCGTCGACGTGCACCAGGCATAACACCCCGGCGAGAAAAACCCACAGACCAGAGCCAACGTCGAGATCTCTTTTTATTATGCATTCGCCAGCCTTTCGTGAGTGTTCGCGCCGTGCTCGGGCGTCTCCCCAGAGGGCGCCTTGCCCCCGAGCCAGTGGGTACGTGTTTTAAAAACGTTAATTCCAGCTCTACAGAATCTGAGCGCTCGACGCAGGGCAGCGTGGCGTCCGGACAGAGCCCCGGGAAGCAGCCGGAGGAGAGAGAGGTCCACAATAAATAAGGGCTTCTCTAAACGGTACGCGCCAGCCACGGCCCTTCCGCCGCCTCGGGGTCCACATCCGCTTCTCCTGACTCGGGGCCACGCGGAGGGAAGTGATCATTAGGTCCAGGCCGATGCTGCCCCTCCCACCTGGTTTCCCCCGCTGCACCCCAATTCTGGTCTGTGCCACAGGTGGGGGCGGGGGCCTGTCCCCCGCGGAGAGCTCACCCCGGCACGGCTGGAGGAGGGAGTGTGGCCGAAAGAGGCGGTGACCCTTCGGGCAGCCCCAGTTGTTCCCAATTACACAGATAAATAGGAATTTACATAATTTACAAAGAGTTTGTGTTTGCGGCTCCTTCCGAAGCCGTTCCCCAAAGATCCACATTTATTCATGAAAGCAAATACGGGGTTCGCTCCAAGGGCCCTGACCCGGGGCTGCCTTCCCAGCAGCTTCCTGCGAACAGGCCCGCGGTGTGAGCGGCTGTTCCGGGGGCTCGGACCCCACAGCCGCGCGTTCTCCCCTGGCCGCGGACATCGAGGTTTCTTTTCTCTTTTCTTCCTTCTCCTGCTCTTTTGAGATACATTCTTTCGGTGGGTACCAAGCACAGCGGACCATTTCTGTCTGCCCCGTGACCCTCCAGCTCACCGAGTCCTGCCCAGCTCGGGTCGTGCCCGCGGCTCCCCGCCCCACCCTACACGCCCGAGCGCGGCGGCACCTAGGAGATGGACAGTCCGCTGACTCGCCAGGAGGAGTCAAGGTGACAGCCAGCGAGTGGCTTCCCAACGCAGCACACCTCTCCAAAGCCCACTTCCCGCGGGGAGGCACGCCCAGGGTGTCGCGCGCCAGGCACCTCTGGGACTGCTGTCCCCACGCGGCAGACGGGGGCTGTTCGGATGGGGCGTTCTTGGGTAGGGGTGAGGGCCCTTTGGGTGGGTTTGCTCCCCCGGGGAGGAACTCATTCTGCATCTTCAGAGGTGGAAATACGGAGCAGGTGGGCGGAACGGAGGCCTTCCTAACAGGACGGGCAGCCGCTCTCCTGGGGGCTCCTGAGACGGGGCGGAGGGGCAGGCGAGGCGGGGTCCACTGCGGGCGAGCTCGGACGGTGGCGTCTAAAGGCCACCCGCTCCGTCTGTCTCTGACTTCAGCCTACCTTGGAGAAGGGGCCAAAGGAAAAGGCGAGTTACGGAAGGTCTCTTCACTGTCTGCAGAAGGCAACATCTCCCCTCTCCGTGTCCCGCCCGCCCTCCTCGCCAGTGTTTCCCGGCAGTTTCGGGGCCCGCCACGCACTGGGGGGGTGTGACCAGGACCCCGGCACCTGCGGCCGCCAGGGGCTCTCCCACGGCCCCCCTGGACGGGTGCTAGCTCAGGACAGCAGCAGCTCCCACTCTCACGGCATGAACCTGGGGGTTGCTAACTCGAGTCTTGCGAGACAGTAGGGGCTGTGGCTGACAAGGAAAGACTTTTCTGCCCAAGTCAAGCTTCTTAGAGGCGCTTCCTAGGCCCCCAGCGGACACCTGTGCCGTCCTCAGGACCCAAACAGCAGAGCAAGGCCACGCTTTTCCTGTGTGGGCTCCTCCTACGTCCTTGAAGACACCCACACGGTCCTACCCCAGGACCTTTGCACTTACTCTTCGCCTGCCTGGAACCCCCGCCCCCTTCTCATCCCTCTGGCTCACCCCTTCTCTCCCTTTGGGTCTTCATGCCGATGTCCCCATCCACCCAACCCCAAACCGCAAGCTCCCCGACACTTCCTAACCGGGCCTGGCTCCCCTGTTCTCCCTCAGAGTTTCTGTACTTGTGTGCTGTCTGCTTCCCCCACTATTTACGCTCCATGAAGGCAGACTCTTTGCCTGGCTCCCTGCTGTGTCCCCAACATCAAGAAAAGCGCCTAGAGTGTGTCGGAGCTCGGAACATCTTTTCTCTGTTAGTCCTCACCCAAGGATGCTTTTCCAGTGGTCTTCAGAGAGAGAGAGAGAGAGAAAGAGAGAGAGAGAGAGAGAGACATCGATGCGAGAGAGACACATCAACTGGTTGTCTCCCACCCTGCAGCCAAGGCACGTGCCCTTGACCGGAGTCAAACCGCTGAGCCAGACTGGCCGGGGCTCTCCGCAAATCTTCACCGAACAAATGCATAAGGGAACATGGACGTGATGCCACGGAGGGATGGTTTCAATCACATCCCTCCCTCGCCAAGAAGAGCTCGGGTCTGGAGGGAGGAAGAGAGGAGGAGACAGACGAGAGAGGCAACGCAGGAGCAGCTGGGCCTGACTCATGCTCCCCAGGGATGATGCTCTCTGCGGCTGGGCCTCCTCGTCCTCCCTCTGTTTTCATCACGAACGCGACAGACCTCTCTCCGGGGGACTAGGAGCGACCTGCCACCGATGTGGAGAGCCGCCGGTGCCCCGAGCAGGGTGCGCGCTCAGTCAGTCCCTGCCGGAGCCCAGCCACCTCCAGGCCCTTCTTATGAACACAAGTCACTGCCCCCATCGCAGCCGTGTGGGTAGGCCTGTCCCAGTGAGTCCTGATGGACAGACTGACAGATACATCCAGTTTGGCTGTAGGCAGCCCTGAGGATCTCATACGAGAGAGACAAGCGGGTACAAAAATTAATCCAACGAATGCGGGGAACCGCTGTACTTCTCTGTCCAGAGACAGCGGCTGGGAAGGAAGAAATGTTCTCTTCTGTTTTTCTCCGGAAAGACCACGTGTGCTGTGGGTCTGGGGAGATGGGCAGAGGGTCGGCTTGCCTCGTCTGGACCCACTGAGCTCCAGGACTGGGCACCACTGCACCCATGCCACAAGGGATGCCAGGGGTCAGCTCCTCGGGGCAGGGCCTGCTGGCCAGGGGCAGGGCGGTGAGTGGCTGTCCACAGCGTCAGCCTGCTCTGTCCGCACAGATGACTTACCAACGGCACCGCTGCCTGTTATGGGGTGCCCCGTGTGCAGTGGGGTTCCCACTGGCCACCTCTCAGGCCAGAAGCCACCCCCACTCGTGCCCCTGAAGGTACGATGCCCGGGGAAGCAACATCACCTCCTCGGATGCGGGTCTCCGTCCGCCCTGCCGGTGGGCGCCGCCGCTCCTCCGTCCGGGTTCTCCGCTGCCCCCGAGCTCCTGTGGGGAGAGAGCAGCGTAACGAACTGACCTCGTTTCCTCGTGGCTCGTTTGCCAGCGTCCAGCCGCGCGCGGCTGCAGTGCCCAAGGGCCGCGTCTGGGGCACCGGTGCTGGGGTCCAGCACACGGCGGGTGGATTTCCACTCGCTCCTCATCCACTCGAGGGATGTTAAGGAGCCAAGAAGAAAAACGCGGTCAGCACAGGGGTTTCTGGACAGTGGGCCCTGGGTCCCTGACCCCTTGGCACCTTGGCACGGGGCGCTGGCCCTCCGTGCACGTGCACACAAGAGTACACAGGGGGCAGCACCTACGGGTCCCATCGCACCACCTCTGCCTCGGAAGAGTTTCCAGGGTGTCTCCACCTGCTGGGTGGAGGGGTCTTGGCCCAAAGTGAGGGGTGAGGGGCATTAACAGGAGTAAGTGCTCAGTGATGACCGACTTGAAAGCCCGCCCCCGGCCGGGACCCTCCTTCGCTGGAGTCCACACTGGTCGCAAGCAGCAGGCAACCTGCAGGGTCTGACTCGGAGCCTCGGGGGCCTCAAAGCAGGATGATGGGTAACACGGGGGCGTGGGCACTGCGTGTCCCCCTCAGACGGAATTGGCCCCCCCTCTGTTCCGGCCTGTACGGGCCAGGAGCAAAGGTGAGGTTGGTGAGACCAGATGGTCCCATTTGCTGTTTCTGAAGAAGCTAAACATGTGCCCTTTGGGAAGGGGTGGGGCAACGGCGCCCACTTTCCAGTGTTGGCAGCTCACTGAGACGTCGGCGTGGTGCTGGGCGGTCCAGAAGAAACGTGTCTGGGCACCAGACACGGCCATGCCATGCTCTGGGCTCGGTCCCAAGGCAGCGGGGAGGCAGGGACACCGCTCCGGGATGCAGGCGCACCGGGTGGGCACGGCTGCCCTGCACCGTGGCGGTCAGATGCCCCAGCGCGCCTGCCCCAGAGCAGCTGGCACTGGGGGGGCCCGGCTGGATGGGGCGCGTACCTGCCGGCAGCCAGGGTCCGGGTGCAGAAGCGTCCGCAGGCCAGGTCGCGGCTCTCCGCACACGCACAGCGCAGTGTCCACCTCGAGGGCCGTGGGCTCTGCGGAGACGGCCCTGCGGACCTCCTGCCCCGGAAGCTTCCTCTGGGGTTGGACAGTCCATAGGGCACAGTCCGTCTGCGGAATACAGAGCACCGTCAGGGTCACGGGAACCAGCCACGAGGCACAGCCGTGCACCTGCCTTTGTGTCCGCATCGTCCCCTGTGTGTGTCTGAGGACGCTTCTGGAGTGAACTTGTTCCCCTCAACCCCCAGGGAGTGTGCCGGGACCCAGGGGACGGGGGGACGGGGAGGGCAGGGAGCTGGGGAGGACGGTCCATCCTGCCCTCGGGCCGGGAGCCGAGTCGCCGGGTGTGGACACATGGCCGTCAGTCTTCCTAAGACCAACAAACCCCAGTCCTCCCTGGGCAGTTCTGGTTCTGATTTCCTTCCTGAACCCAAAGCCCTGATACAGATGGTCCCACAGACCCGTACGCCGGTCCCAGTCTTCGTCCTTAAGCCAACGCCTGGGCCGGATCATCAATACCAGCCACGCCTGCCTACCCCAGGGCCTGAGGCTGGCCTGGCGCCCCCCTCCTGCCCTGGAATCCCCCCAGTGCCCCCGGCAGCCTCGCAGTCGGTACCGGCGGCACCGCCACCATGCACACACGCCACCGAGACGCAGCTTGGCCTTGGATGTGGCCTCCTGGAAGGGACAGACTTCAGAGGAGCCGCCGGGCCGGCTGTGGGAGGCAGTGGATGACGGGCGGCCCTGGGGAAAGGCCTGCAAAGCCAACGTCTGGGACTGTTTACCAGCTTCGTTTATGGTCGGAGCTGGGAGGAAGGCGATGGTGTCATTCAGAACAATAAGCGTTTACTCATCCTTCACGCCCCAGCTCATCCGGGCCGCCCTCTGCAAGGCAGGCCGCCACGGGCCCGAGTTCAAAGCAAGTGCTCAGCTCGTTAATGCCATTGAACGCGGTCTGGGGGATAAAGGACCAGTAAGGAGAGGATGGCCCGAAGTCACTTCTCCAGGAAGTCTTGGTTCTCCTGCTGGTCCCCCAAATTAACTGCTTTGGTTCTGCAAGCCCCACAGAGTCTCACCAATCAGCCACCTCAAAGGGGGTTCTGACATCCTGTCGCGCTGTCGAAACCAAATCAAATGGAATCTACTTTAATTCGAAACACACGCCGTGGAGCCTTGTTGGGGTGGCGAGGGCAAAGCGGGGGGTGCCCCGCCGCGACCTGATGCCTGAGCCCAACTTCCTCCCCGCTGGGCTGCGGCTGAGGACGTCACCCCGCAGTCTACGCCCCCGACCGAAGCAGCGTGGCACAGTCCGAGCTCACCGACGGGAAGGCCGGCGGGGTCCAGCCCGGTCTGAGCGTCGTCACCTCTGCAAAAAAGCCCGTTTTCCCCCGGGAATGGGCAGTGGGGGTGGAGGCGGCCAAACAATGCGGACATTGTTGTGAGACAGGATTTGACTGAAGGTATGTTTTCCAGTCACAGGGCCACACTAAATCTCGGAGTGCTGACATGAGGCTCAGCCCCCCCACCCCAGTCCTTGGTGAAAATCACACAGAAGGAAAACAAGGCTCCCATTTTGCCGTGGACGAGGCGGACCGGCCTTTGTGGGGCGGCTCTCAGCTGGCTCTGCACGTCCCCACACAGCCACCCAACCTCAGGGAGACCCCGAGGGCTTCTGATCAGGACGCACGGCGGTGGCCGAGCTGGTACACAAACGAGCTTGCCATTCTCCACAAGGCACACAGGGGCCTGCGCCCAGGCCAGAGGCCCTCACGGGAGTCCCGGTTCCCACGGCGCCCACCTCCCACAGGTAGGAAACCGCCTGGCTGTCAATCAATCTGATAAGCTCTTAAACAAGACAGTTCCATCCTGGTACCTGAACAAGTCTGGCGACCAAACCCCTCGGCAGCTCGGCCTTGAACTTGGCGCTCTGAGGCTCCTTGAGGTTTGTGTTGACAGATGACACACCAAGGAGATTCGGCACCTTCTCTTTCAGGCTGCTGCACCCCACACCAAGGGGGGCTCATCCACTCCCATGTGGACGTACCCCCCAGCTCCAACTACCCCTGATGCTGCCAGCTGCTGCCCCTTGGCCACCCTCAGCATATGCACCTGGAACCTGTCCTGTCCCTGGGCGTCGGACCCTGGAAGTGGGCCCGGTGAGATTTGGGCAGGAGATTCCAGGAGCCTGAATATGGAACATGGTCTAGAAGGGACAGTGCGTGGCTTTCAGTCCCACAGACTCCTGGCAGTGGGGTTGCAGACGTGGCCAGAGGAGGGGCCGAGGCAGCCCTCGAGCCCACAGGGCCTCGGGCGGGGTTCTTTCTTGACCAGCTCTAAGGCCACCAGCCCAAAGGTCACCAGCCCCTCACAAGCAGGAGGCAGTTCTCCTCGTGTGCCTGCCGTAAACTTAGCACAGGGTTGGACAACGGAGAACCCAGACTGAGCAGCTGGTAGTTAACTGTGAGATAATCTAGTTCAACAACATGGGATTCCTTCCAACCTCAAAAGTTCAATAACAACAACATTCCATGACAAAGAACTCCACCATGAGCCAGGCACTCACTGTATAAATAGTCAGATAATCCCTCGTGTCTTCTAAGTGCTATCGAGATACAAAGGCACATGCATGTCTGTGCCTTCCCATGCTCCTGGGTACATACAGGTACGTGCAAGGTACACAGAGTGCGGAGAACGGTTACCTGGTAATTCCATCATTATGTTGTAAAGCACTTACATGATGGTCACTCCACCCTCTCAACAGTTTCCTGATCTACAAAAGGGCTGTCGACAGATTGGATGAGACAGAGCCCTGCGTGGAGAGACTTACCAAGAGTCAGCAGTAAGATATGTTAGCTGCTCTTGTTGCTTACTTGGTCTGGGAATTCAAGTCAGTTGTATCAGGCAGAAATATCCCCTCTAGGAGGACTGCATTTGAGATGTGTGACTAAGCAATAAAGAGGAGTAAAAGTACTAAAGAACTGGAGAGCCATTTGGCACAGCAGTGCCATTCTTTGCCACCCTTCCTTTTGGCTGGCACATCCTCAACACGGCCTGTCGAATGAGTATTTGCCTATTTAAGTTGTCTGGGTGCCCTTTGGCACTGGCTGCTTTTTGAACGGTGAATTGGAAGGACCTAATGACAGAACCATGAAAATGCAGTTGCATTGGCTGAGAACCTTTGCCTAATTGTTTTAGCCTATAGGGTTTGGAGAATGCAATTCTCAGTCAAGGTACGCAGCTCTTCAATCTGTTAGTGCTTCAGTTATAGCTCAGAGCTCCATGCAAAAGACAAGCAGATGAGATCAATCTAGATGCTCTCAGACAAAACGAGACACCCCTCCAGCGTGCCCACAGGGGCGATGCCAAGTGTGGTGCCTATGCATGATAAATCGCCCCTCACTGCACATAGTCAGAACATTCATTATTTGCTCAGTGATGGTGATGTCAGAGTCTTATTTATCACTGTGTTCCCCGTCTGCCGCTTTTCCCCAAATGTCACATATAAATGTTATTAAATATTGACCTTCCAAATCTCCTGTATTCATTCTTCATGTGCAGTGTCACACTGGAGCATTTTCCTTCTCTCTACAAGAAGTTTTTCAGTAAGAAAAGCTGACTTTTTTGCCCTGGCCAGTTTGGCTCAGCGGTTAGAGCGTCAGCCTGTGGTCCGGAGAAAAGCTGACTTTTTTTTTTTTAAAGATTCTGTTTTTAAACTCAGTGTTGCCTTTTCAGAAACGAATCGATGATCTCCATCTCTCCGATCGAGAAACTCGCCTCCACACCCCACGTTTAAAGGAAAGGACAGATATTCACAAAGGCAGCCCAAGGCGTTTCCCTGGCCAGATTCTAACCTCCCAGGAAGCTCATCCAACCGTCATCCCCTCAAACACCACTGTTCACCCCCCACCCCCGAGTAGCAGCCAACAAACACCTGCGGAGCGTTTTCTCATGAGCAGGCGCTGGACTCGCTGCGGGGTGAACCTGCGTGAACGAGATGGATAAGTGCCCTTGTACACACACGGTTTTAGTTTAGTACGGAGGTCGGCAAGCTAGCATTTGACGGGCTTCATTCAGTTGGCAGAGAGGTGTTTCAATCTGAATATTTCACAGAAGCACCCCAACCTCCAGCTTCTCGCGAATCACGTGAAGTCACACGAACGCTGACCCCACGCTCCAACCCGCAGCCCCTGTCTGGCCCTCACCCGGCGCGGCTCATCATCACCCCGCTTTACCCCAGCCCCCCAGTCCCAGCGGCCTCACACCTGTCCTTGGCTCACGTCCGTTACCTGTCTGGCCCGCACGGACATTGAGTTTACAATCCCTGGCCTGGTGGATATCCTGAAAAAGCCAGACAGGCCATATGACACGGTGACAGAATTAGCACGTGGTACTATTTGTCTAAATAGAGTTGTTTTCCATGTTTGAAAGTCCCAGTTCTATCTCCCCAACAGAGAGAATGTTTTCACACCGCAATCAGAAGGTCAGGTTGACCATCGACTTCTTTCAGTCACTTCTCCTGAAATGGGGAAGCAAAGGCAGTATCCCCTTTGGGCCCAGGGGACACACTGCGCCGAAGGCAGAAGTCGGGGGTGGCAGACAGGCAGGCAGGAGGCCACCCCGGCCACCGGGTACCAGGGTCCGGGAGATACCGCCTCCCACCCGTTCCCAGAGCAACAACGTCCAGACCCCAGCGCACTTGCTAACTATGGCTCGATGTCAGCTTTCATAAATGCCTTTGGCAGCAGGCACCTCTCGCCTGCTCTTTGAGCCCAGCGGTATCTCCTCGGACGAGGAAGTCTAGATGTCCTCCGTGGACTGTGGTTGGGACCTTAACCAGAAAGAACAGCTAACGAAGAGTTCCGTTCTAACCCAAGACAAGATGGGGCCACCCTCGCACGCAGCTGACGAGCAGTCGGCAGCCTTAAGAGGGTCTGTTCGCTTCCACCAGTGTCCAGGGGGCCCGGCATGGGACGGGCAACAGACGCTGGGGGGTGTCCCCCTCTCAAAGGACTCAAAAACCCACAATTCTCGGGAGCCTGGGGCCAACTCTGGTGGGGGTTTTTTGTCTCCGGAAATCCAATCTCTTCTCTTTGCTGTGGGGAATCACCCCT